ACCCCTACTTGTCAGGAACAAAAATGTACTGACACTTAATATACACAAAGAAAATGTAAGCCAAGGATTTTGTATCTGATGGTATTGGCTTTTAAGCACAAAGGTGTAAAAACCAACATACCCTGGAGGAATTTGGGACTGTCACTCTGATAAGCCCTTCCTGAAAAATCCCCTAGAGAACACGCTTTGGACAATCAAAATAACCAGAAGGACATTGATGGTGAACATTAAATATGGCTCCTTGTAGAGCTAAAACTAAAGGAGGTCATCAGGAAGTCAATATGGTTTCTGCTCTGATGGTGCAGGTATGGCACAACTGTAAAAACCCCTGCAATTATCGTTACTCATAAAAACTAAAACTGCGAAGATGGAGTCTGTATGCAGTGGTTATAGGATCTGATAATGTAGATATTGTCCAAGTATAAAAAGGTTGGGGATGGCATTTGAAAAAAAAATTAAGCTGTTTTAAAAACATTTGTGGTAGAATGATATTGAATTCCTTGGCCTTTGCGTGGTTCTAAATTTGACTTGGAGGTACCATTGAACCCATTATAGACACACACACACACACACACATACACACACACAGAGTTTATTAGCTCTGTCCATTGAAAAAAAACTTAGAATCAACAACCAAATTGAATGAATTGCATCCCTAACATCCAGATTTACATCCAAAAGTGTATAGAAAAAGATCAAAGTCGAATCCCATATAAAATTATGATCTTAGATTACCATTCCCCCACCCCTGCCTCACCCCTAAAAAACTCCAAGATTTCTTGGAGATGTGTCTGATTCTAGGTCTGGGATGTGAATTGTAATTTTTTTTATTATCATGGTTTTCTGCTCAACTGTTCTATTACTCTCTCTCTCTCTTTTCTTTTTTTCTTTTTTTGCAGTACTGGGGACTGAACCCAGAGGTCCTCTGCCACTAAGCTACATCATGCTCAGTCCTTAATATGTTTTATCTTGAGACAGGCTCTTGCTAAATTGTCCCAGGCTGGTCTTGAACTTGTGATCTTCCTGCCTCAGACTGCCAAATTGTTGGAATTACAGGATTGTGCCACTATATCTGGAAGTTGTTACTTTACTCTTAACACCTTATCTACTACTAGCCCTTGCCCCAGATCTCTGTGACACAGAGATCTCTAGCAACCACTGAAACATTGTTGCTTGTTAGAGTAATTACAGTGGCCTGGCCTTTGCAGTTTTAGATTCTTATTATACTGATAAGAGGGACACCAGTTCCATTAGACTCCTCCCTAGTGGTCATTCTTTGCTTAAAAAATCCCTTGAGCTTCCCAATGATGTCAGTAGATTTCTTGTTCCTTTTCTTGAGCCCTCCGTGGAATCACAGTCATTATGCATTCTATGGAATGAGCTCATTCCAGCATGCCCACTCAGTTGTTCAGCATTGGGGTAGCTATTCTCAGAGATGTAGTCTGACTATGCAATTTGTGCTGCTTCTTTCAGGTGTGATCTCCACATGCTCTTGTCCCTAACCATGATTCTCCCTTCTTTCTCCATATCTCCCTTGGTGAGATTTACTTTTTTTTTTTTTCTATTTTTTAATTGTTGATGAACCTTTATTTTTCACTTATCTATATGTGGTGCTGAGGATTGAACCCTGTGCCTCATACATGCTAGGCAAGTGCTCTACTACTGAGCCATAACCTCAGTCCTCACCCATTTAGTTTTATATTCTCTTATTGCTTACATGTCAGAGCCAACCTCACTGGAAAGGTAGTGAGTTGTATATTGCGTTCCATTCACAGCATGATGCCTCCTGACCCCCTCCTGAGTTTAGGGGACAATGATGGTTTGCAGGTCAATCATGTGAAAGTGGTTGGAGTTTGGTGAATTCTCAAATTGGTTTTTGACAAAGAAAGCATTGACTCTGTCATTCTCTGTGTTAGCCAGCTTTCCATCACTGTAACAAATACCTGAGGTAATAAACTTATAAAGAGAAAAGGTTTACTTTGGCTCACAGTTTAGGAGGTTCTAGTCCATGATTGGTGGTGAGGGAATACCACCATCATGGTGGAGAATGTGGTGGAGCAAAACTGCTCAAACTGCCACAAAGCTGAAAAGAGGGAGTAGAGGGCCTGGGATTCCATTAGCCTTTACAAGAGCATGACAGCAATGACCATAAGACCTCCCACTGGTCCACCTCTTAGAGTGTCCACCACCTCCCAAAAGTACTTCACAGAGGACTAAGCCTTTGCCACATGGAACTTTGGGTGACACTTAATATCAAAACTATAGCATTCCAAATACTTGAAATGAACAAAATTTATATGAGAAACAGGAAAAAAAACAGGAGTCATATCTTAATTTGTAGTATAGCTTACTCATTAAGAACATGGGCTTTGAGTATGGGACTAGAGATTATCAGGCTAAGTAAAATAAGCCAATCCCTAAAAACCAAAGGCTGAGTGTTGTCTCTGATATGCAGATGCTGACTCACAATGGGGTGGGGAGTGGAGATTCACTGGACTGAACAGGGGGATGGGGGGAAGGGAGGAGTTTTGGGAATGGGAAAGACAATAGAATGAATTGGACATAACTTTCCTATGTTCATATATGAATACACGACCAATGTAACTCCACATCATGGACAATCACAAGAATGGGAAGTTACACTCCATGTATGTATGATACGTCAAAATATATTCTACTGTTATGTATACCTAAAAGAACATAGGCTTCAAACTTGGGGAACTGGGTTCAAATCTCCCAAGTGCTTGCTATGTGTGTGACTTTGGGAAGGTTCAAGACTCCGTTTCCTCGTCTGTTAAAAGTGAAGATTCAGTGCCATACTGTGTCTGGCACATATTACGGCATTAAATAAATTTATCTGTAATAATTGTATGAGAAATCTAGGAAAAGTCTGGGTAATCTGTCTTTAGTATTCAGGAGTGTGTGGGAAGCTGCACAGTGCTTTGGTGTGGGTGGGTAGTGGTGGAGGGGCATGACACCCTATTTGTAAGGCACTTTATGTAAAATTGAGAAAATAAATACAGTGACGCTGGGAAATGTTACTGGTCTGATGACCAAAACTGAGAAGGAACCGAGAATGTTCAGCAGAGAAAAGGCCAGGCCAACCAGGGATAGGTGGAGATAAACATGACCTGTCTGAAAGTTTCAAGGCTTCTCATCAAGAAGAGAGAACTGACTTTCTCAGTTGTACTGAATGGTGCACATCCATAGGCTACTGGTGTGTATACCTCTCTAGGGTTACCTCTTCCTTGGCTTCTAAGTATTTGGTACCTTTTTGCTTAAGAATCAAAATAACCTTGGATAGGGTTTGATGTTGATTATTTATCTACATTTTCATTTTCCTTCATTCCTTTTCAAATACAACATTCACTTACTTCAACTTTAAGCAACAACCACTCTGACTTCTCATTCTTTGGGCCCGATTCTAGCTGTATGTGTTTATTACAAATAATTGAGAGATTATTCTCTCAACTGAATGAGTATTAATTAATCATTGTGTCACCTCAATGAGACTTTGTGCTTTTAGTCTTTTATAGCAAAAGATAGCAAAAGTTTTATTTGCTCTCTTAGTGTAGATCATCCCAAAGCAGACCTGAGACCAAAATTCAGGTGCAAATGTTTCCTAGGGAGATGAACCAAGAGAGAACAATGAGGGAGACAGGCAAGGGAGGAAAGTCAACTAAGGGTGTAGAAGCAGATTTCTGCTGAGGGTGCGTGCCCACTGCTGGGCACTCTGAGAAGTTATATAGAGCGCATCCCAGCACTGTCCCATCAAGGAGCCAGCACTGCAGTGTTGACTCTCCCATCTCCCACCCGTCATTGGTCATGTGTGCTGTGCAGGCAATAACTCCCCCACCCCCCATGCACAGACCATTCTGCAAAGAGAAGGCCCCTAGGGGTTTGAGGGAGGAAGACTTCAATTGTCCACTGAAGATGCTTGTGACTGCAATGTGAGTCAAGGGAATTCAGGCAGGACACTTGCAGGATTTGCCACTGTCCCTGAATTTCAGACTTAAAGGGTCAAATTTCATTGTATGAGAGATAGTCCTTTCTGCTTTGGCACACAACTGTGGAAGGCTGAGTTGTGTGAGTGCAGGTGGACCAGAACTAGCCTAGTAGGATCAGGAGGTGCAGAGAGAAGAGGACCCTGAGGGCTGGTCTGTATCCTCAGACTCGGGTTCCACACTGATTCCACTCTATTGTGCAGGCAGACTGGAGTTCAGTTTCTGCTCATGGATTATATGTGTGTACTCAGAGCATTGTCCTTAAATTGACCCTGCCTTGGCTTCCTCAAATGTAGAATCAGGGATTAAAATATCAGGTTCACAGGAATGGTTAGGGGGAAATGCGAGTGAGAGCATTTAGTGCTGAAACAGCCTTTTCCTGCTTCCAGCTCTCTCTCTGCATGACTTTAGCTTACTCTTTTTAGCCAAAACTCACAAGCACACATTTTGTTTTCTGGCAAAGCTAACAATGATTTAGCTGGTGTTTTTTTTTTGTACCTGGGATTGAAATCAGAGGCATTGGACTACTGAGCCACATTCCCAGCCCTATTTTGTATTTTGAGACAGGGTCTCACCTTGCTTTTGTTGAGGCCAGCTTTGAACTTGCAATCCTCTTGTCTCAGTCTCCTGAGCCGCTGGGATTTTAGGCATGTGCTGCAGAACCCAGCTGGTTTTGATGATGGTTTCTTACTATAAGCCCTCCTTCTGATGTCCTTTATTATTTCTGTTTGTGAAGGTTTTGAACCAAAATTTTCACATTTGGAGCACAGGCTTATTATCATTATTATTTTTAAATATCTGCCACTTGATTTTTACTTTATTTATTTATTTTTATGTGGTGCTGAGGATCGAACCCAGGGCCTTGCACTTGCAAGGTGAGTGCTCTACCATTGAGTCACAACCCCAGCCCAGGGTTATTCTTAACAAAGTATTGCTGAATCTGACTCCAGGGCCACATGAAGCTTCGGCCTGAAGAGATGAACTCAAGCTCTGAGGTCAGAGGTGGGGGGAAAAACCGGCTATCACAATGTTCTCGCCGGTGATGTAGCTGGCATCTGGGGAGCACAGGAAGGACACCAGTCCTGCACATTCCTCAGGTTTCCCCACTCTGCATGGAGAGAGGAGATGGGTGAAGCTGGTGACACTTTCCCAGGAGTACTTGACTCACATGCAATACTGAAATCAAGAACTACCCAGGAAGATATGTGGGTGCTGTGTAGGGAACTGTGAGGTCATCACAGGTCTGGGGAAATTGTCAGATCCCCCAAAGTGGAGCGATGGTTTGTGATCTGTTATCTTTTGAGAAGGTTCTGAGGTGATGCTAATTCAGATCTACAAGGGACATTGCCTCACCACACCTACCTCTGCATTCCAAATATTTTCTTCCAATATTCCTCAAAGTCTGGGTCTTCAGTGAGCTAAAGGAAAGGTCAAGGTTAGTGCTGCTCATACAGATGGAGTCCTAGGGTTGTGGAAGGACTTCTGGAGCACTCTTGGTTTGCTCTCTACATAGGACTGATTCTGACTCTGCTGCAGAACCCAAAAGCTGTGGACCAGAGCAACAGAGCAAGAGACCTTTCCAAGTCTGAGAGTCCAGGCTCTGTGGGGTATGGCTTACAAGTGAAACGCACCCTAGTGCCCAGTGGTATAGGAACAGAAGCTCTTCTCTGTACTTACCACTTGACTGAAGTCTGTTTTGATAAATCCTGGTACTAGGCAGTTTACCCGAATGTTTTTCGGTGCAAGCTCCACTGCCAGAGTCTTGGTGAGGCCCAGCAGGGCTGTTTTACTGGCATTGTAGGCCCCCAGCTTCTGTAGTCAGAAAGGGAAACAGATTAATAGGCTAGAACTGAGGATAAGGATTGTCCCTTGGATTTCCTGAGTTCTGCCCTGGGAATTCACTCCAGTTACACCTCCTGATCGCCAAGTCTGGGAGACAGTGCCTGGAGGAGGTGGCAAGATGTTCCCAAGAAGGCAAGATCAGTGATATAGAGTCATCATGTTTACATGTGAGTAGTCCTGAGGGAGCAGTTGTCAAACATTGGCTACTTCCATGTACCTGATTTTCCAGATGTAAAGGAGAAGAGTTTCCTCTTACCCAATTGGGATCCATAGATGGTCATACTTACAGCATGTGGAAGATAAGCTGCAACTGAGGAGACCAGGACCACAGAACCTTGTCTGGGAGGACAGAGAGGGTAGAATGTGAGCTGAAGACAGTTATCTTGTGTGTGACCAAGAAGGAGGAGGGTGAGAATAGCCTGGGCCAGGTAGAGGGATTGACCTCCATTTCCTGCAGGTCTTTGATTATGTTCCTCAAACTACATTGCCAGGGAAGCCATCTATGTTTGGATTTTGTTTCTGAAGGAATATTTATGATTATAGATTACAGTTATTGAACAGTAATAGGACTGGCCAAATTTTCTCTCTTTTGAGTTAGTTAAGACATATAATTTTTTAAAAATTGTCAATTTTATTAAACTTCATTCTCTTAATTCCTTTTTTCTGCCTCAAGATCTCTAATGGTGCTTTAAATCTTTATTCCTGATATTGTTTCTGATATTGGTTATTTGCCTTCCTTTTTTCTTGATCAGCTCCCACAGAAATTTGTCAAAGGCATTTGTTTTAAAATATTTTTTGTTTCCTTGGTTCATATATTATATTTTGTCTTTTCCATTGATTTCTGCTCCATATTATTTCCTTTTTGCTTTCTCTGCATTTGCTTCTTCCCCCTGCACATTTAGTTTTGTTTTTTTTTATTTAACATAGACAATATAATACTCTGCTAACCACTGTTCTTTACAATCCAGAAATAGATACTTTCACTTCTTTCTTTGTAAAGCAGGATTTAAAGGTGTACTTTAAATGCAGCAGTTGAGTTGAGAAACTTTGCATAAAGTGCTATGGTTTATCTGTCCTATTTTGATTTTTTTAATCTTTATTTATTTTATTTTATATGGTGCTGAGACTTGAACCCAGTGTCTCACATGCTAAGCAAGCACTCGGCTCCCTTCTTGATTCCTAGTTTTTCCCAGAATAGTAATTCTCCTAGAACTATTCCTTCCTAGCACTATAAACTCAGTTAACAGAAATGAGAAACTTGGAAAACCTACCATTGTTATCTAATTCAATTTTAAAATTTTGATTTGGTTAAAATTTCTAGCTTAACAATCTTTTTCTTTTAACTGTAATCGCTGATATCCAGGATTAATACCTAGCATTCAATTTTGTGATTTTTTTTAATTCCCCTAGTTCTCTGTTTTATTTTTTTGTCCATTCTCTCTTTTGGACTATTTTTTCCTATTTATTTCTCTCTCTCTATCAGTTTAAAAAATATTTAATATTCAATTGCAATTCTTGTAGATGTTACCTTAGAAAGTAAAACAGGCATGTTTAGCTATCAAAGTTTGAAATTAATATTCTTATCTTGTCTCAAACAACATAAAAATCTTGTAACAGCTTATCTCCATTTCTGCCTTTCTGACTTGAATATTATTTTTTTGCATGTTTTAATTATTTCAACCCTACAAAACATCATTATTGCTTTTTATAATAGGTGGTTAAGTTTGTTCATATGTTACTGTTTTTTCTGTGCCTTTCTTACTTTTATCTCAGACTTTCCATATGGGATCATTTAGTTCCTTCTGCCTAAAGAATATTGTCTAGAACATCCTTTAGTTAATGGTTTTGGTTGTCTGAAAATGTTATATAACTTTGCCCTAATTTTTGAAAGATGCATTTGGTAGGTATAGCAACTATCAATTCTAGGTTGATAATTCTTTTTTTTTCCCCCAGCATATGGGAAACTCTATTTAAAATGGGTCATGAGGGAGGATAATGAGGATTTTAGCAAGTAGATTAAGAATGAATGGAAACTGAATGAAGTGGATGGAGTTTCCTTCATGAACTACTTTGTCCAAAATGTTAAATAAGACAATCTTTTAATTGCTCAGATGCCATAATTAATAAAATAATAGTAGTAGTATAAATAATGTTTATTATAAGTATTTAAAAATTAATTATACTATGTATATAATAATCTATACTGTATATAATATTTATTTAAAATAATGTCTTTATTATAGTAAATATTCATAAATATACTCTTTATGTGCACTTTGCTTAGTAATTTATGTATTTATCATGTCAATGAATGTTCAAAACAGATCTTCTAAGCATCCTTATTCTTACTTAATAGGTAAGGAAATGAAGGCCCACAGATATTAAATGCCAAGAATGTGTAGCCTCTGACAGGACATGTATCTGAAGGTAGATCTCTGTGATTCTAAAATCCATGCCATCTAACTTCATCACACTAGTGGTTTACAACCAGTTTAGTGAAGTTAGATTCTGCAGACATACCCAGGACAAGTAACAGGGGATTAAGTGGAGGAAAAAATGGGTAAACTCCAGGATCCAAATCCACCTTTCAAACTGCACATCTGTATCTGCTTTTGTCTGTTTTATACATGGGACTCCTATACAGAATATTGTTGTGCTATTAAAAACAGCCTGAAAACCATTGCATTGAGTAGAACCACACTAATTACTGATATTTAGCCATTTGTAATCTACAAAAGTGGTGTTATTAAAAATATGGCTCAGTCTAATAGCACACCGTGCTTGTGTTGGAACTGGAAGGGGCCTTAGTAGTCATTATTAGAAGTCCTGGCTGTATTTTACAGAGAAGCAGCCCAGGTCATACTAGGAGCTCAATATGTGCTTGCTGAATTCAGTGGCTGCTCCAAGATTTCAGTAGGGGAGGAACTGAAGGGAAGCAGTCTAGTTGGAAGAGGGGTGTTAAATCTGAAGCCAGATTTACAACATAGGTAGTTAGTGTAGTTAGGTAAATCGGGTCTAATATCAAGTAAGATGAATAAAATGGAGGCCATTATTGGGAATGGATCCAGGAAACCAGAGCAGCACTTGGGGAAATTGAAATGTTAATGTCCCCAAGGCCCAGAGACCATCCCATGGAAATGTTAATGAAGCAGCTCTCAGCAAACTTGGAGATGCTAATCCAAAAGCCCAGGCCCTTCCTGCCCAGATTACTCCTTCAGCCCACCTGTCCCCCACCCTTTGGGCTTTCCCACCTACATTCCATCATTGCAAGATAACCGAGAACAAAGGACAGGAATGCGGGAAAGCTGAAAGAAGACCTTAGCTATAAAAGAGGGAAGACCTCTCCCTTCCATGGATTCCACCTTTTGGGTCCCCTTCTTCCTCCGGGAGAAGTCTTTTCTGCTGTCCTTTAATAAAGCCTCTACTTTCCACTCTAAACTTGCCTTGGCATGCTTCTCTGGTGTTATATTTCAGCATTTGGGAAGAAAGGACTGGTCACGGGTAAACAGCAGTAACAAATCTACATCTGCAGAACAGTTAATCCAGATTGAAAAAACCTCCTCTGATATTTTAAGGAGGGAGTGAGGACCATGCTGGTGACTTGACTTTCAGAAGATTCAAGGCTAAGTAGGAGCAGAGGCCTGAGGGACCTATTTCATTACAGGAACAAGACTGGCCCAAGCTGGAAGATTAGAATGGGAATGGCTATAGCACCTTCAGGAGAAGCTGGGATGTAAGGTGAGGCAGACAATGGGAGGCTTGAATGCCTGGGTCTGCAATGCAGTAGGTAAAAAGTAGCTCCCCTAGCTCCCTGAGCAGTCAGCTTGTTCCTGCCTCAGGACAAATGCTGAGCTCCTGAAAAAATATCTGGAAATATCCCATATCGCTGAGATCATTGAAAAACCAGAGCAGCTGGAGACAGCCCCAGGCCCACCTCACTGGTGAAGATGGAGCTGGCCAGGTAGGCATCTGCCCTTGGTTTTGGGGAGAAGCAGGGAAGAAGACTTTCTAGTTTGGAAATTACAGGGCTCCAGGGAGAGAGAGAGAGAGGATGTGGCTGGTCCAAGAGTTAAGAATTCTGGGAGGAAAGAGTTGAATGGAACTGAGAAACATGACTGCTCTGATTTCAGGAAGGCCCTGGGGAGCCTCAGGGTCATCAACCTGGACACTTGTGGCCTGAGCTTCTGCAGCCCAAGAGAGGCCACCTCTACTTCTCTGACTTCAGGACTGTTGAGGGGACTCTGGCCCTTCTGTCTGTGGATCCCTTGGCTTCCTTTTAGAAGGACTCTTGCCAGGCTCTCTGACCACTCAAGATAAATTCCCTGGGTACACTAATGGATAGAATGCTTTGCTTTCTTTCAAATTCAGAAGTCTGAAAGATAATCTCTTGCTGTCTCTGTGTACTGGTTCAGCCAATCCTGTTTCCAAGCAGGAAGGTCTAAGTCAAATCTGGCCCCTCTCACTCTTGCTTCCCCCATCCCTCTTTGATGCCAAGTAATTCTCTCCCTATTCTCTTTCCCCACCCTCACCCCCTGTTCTCCATGTGGGGCAGCAACTGGCTCAGCAGCAGGGCTGGGGCCTTCACATTCACACTCAGGATCTGAAATCAGAGCAAATAGGGGTGGGGGAGGGAAGACACAGTCAGTCCACCAATGTCACCACACCTGGAAATATACCATGTTAGTATGTGGGCATGACATCTCTGACAAGGGGAAGCAGGATGGGTGCTGGGCTTCCTGGCATGCATGGAGGTGGGGGCTTCCTGAAGGTACAGGAATAAAGAGATCAGGCTGAGGACTTGGGGGGGGGGGGCGTTGAAGACCTGGAGTCTTCAGGTCTCTCCTGTCTCCAAGGACACAGTTTTCATCAGGAGCAGAGACACCAGCAGGCGAATCCAGAGAAGGCTGGATTTCAGGGTTACAGCCCAGAAGTGCCAGTGTTAAGGACTAAGCATCTCCAGGCAAGGAAGAGAGTCACTCTCTTCTCTGTGCTCTACATTTTTTTTGGTGACGATTTGGTTTTATGTTGGATACTCCCTGCAGATTGGGAGCTCCTGAACAGAGTGGGCAAGCACCTGCAACTTAGACACATTTCCACCATGTCACAGCTGAAAAAATGGAGGCTCATGGATTCTGGGTACCTGGCCTTCCTCTGTGCCAATGAGCTTGGAGGGTGGATGTGTGGGAACTGAGAACCAGCTCTGGGTGTGTGAGCTCATATGTAGGGAGGGCACTCAGAAGGTGAGGATGAAGTCCCACCCACCCCTCCTTGGTTGCTCCAGACCTCACCTTGTCCCAGACCTGCTCACTGCTCCCCAAGGTACTTCCAACAAAGGGGTTGACCCCTGCTGTGCACACCAGGAAGTCCACACCCCCACAGTGTTTCAGGGCCTGTGGGTGGGAAGGGGACATTGAGGACTAGGGTCATAGGGTGAAAGACTTTTGCTACAATGGGACTTTATTTCTGTTTAATGTCCCTGGAGTTGTGTCTGGTTCAAATCCAGGAAGGGAAAAACCCTGAGGAGGAAGGACTATTTCCTTTCTTTTAGGAACCAGGTATTGAGCTTCTGGACCAAAAAAAAAAAAAAAAGGGGGGGGGGGGGGGGGGGGGGGGGATTTGCCCTACCCACTTATCCTATGCCTTTTTATGTTCTATTCCCAGGCACGCGGGGCTGTTGATTTCCCAGCACATGTCTCATTCACACCATTTCCTGAAATGTCTCTGTCACCCCTCTGTTTTCCTGATCACGCTAGCTCTGACTTAAAACCAGGGCTTCCTTATCTATAACTTCTTTATTCCTCTCAGATTCTTAGGAGGACCTGGCTGATACTCAACAAGTAACTGGTCTCCTAGTGTGGATCAGAGAAGCAGAATCCCTGCGTCCCTGACTGTGTTTCTATGCCCCTCACCGTGGCTACCAGTCGCTCCCGGTCTTCAGCTTTCCCCACATGACACACAGTGCCCACCACACTCAGTCCTTCCCTCTGTAGTGTGTCCACAGCCTTGTCCACATTTTGCTGCTTCCGGCTGCTGATGATTACGTGTGCCCCATCCTGGGCCAGACGCCTGGCAATACTGAAGCCAATCCTATAGGCAAAGATGGAAAGGATATGACAATTCACCCTTGGGCTGAGCCCTTTCTTGCTGTATTTCTTATCCTCAAGTTCTAAATGAATCCCCCCTCTTAACTCAGAAAAGCTCACCTCATACCTTCCTTGTGGATAGTAAGAGGACCCAAAGTGATAAAGAGGGGTTGCATCTGTCCTGTGTGACCGGACCTCCTATGTACCACATCAGACTTTGGCTTTCCTTTACTGGAACTAGTATTTTGACAATCCATTCCTAGTTCTTCAAGGTTTTGGTTTGCTTTGCAGCTGCAACCTAGAGCTCCTTACCTTAGACCTGTGAATCCACAGGGCTCACAGGCATGCAGCTTGGAGGGATGGGGTTAATAACCCATGGAGTACAATTCTTGACTGATGGGGGTCAGAAGCAAAGGCTGGATGCCCTCTGCCTTTCCCTGATGGGTTTCATGTTTTCTCTGAGCATGTGGACCCATCACTCTCTGACCTGTAGCAGACCATCTTGGTAACACAGCCTGCACTGACTTTGTCTCCTTCCTGGATTTTTTCTGCTGTCATTGTTTCTCTTAGGATCTCTTTAGGATTCCCTCCATACTCCTACAAGCACATAAACCCGGTAGGTTTTGCTTTGTGGGGATGAACTCCCAAGACACCCATACCGCCTCAGTTCCCAGAATTGCTCTCACCCATTTGTGGATCCTGTGACCACTGCGACTTTGTTGACCAGTTTGAGACTACTATTGGCCACACTGCTGGTGCTTCTCATGGAGAGCAGAGTTGCACTGGGCAGGAAGTTCTTCCAACCCCAGGTCAGGGGCCCAAACATGGGTATTTCTGTTGTCTTTCCTCTGGTGAGCTTGGTCCAGGGAGGAAGCCCTCTAAAAAGGCAATGACAGTTCCAATAAGTGGATTCAAAAGAGTGAAGTATACTGGGCAAGAGCTGGGCTGGTCCAGGGTCACCACTAGAAGTCCAGCCTAGAGCCTGCATCTCTAGTCCTTCCAGTGGTTTTATGCACACAGAATTCTCCATATTTACTCTCTCCTCTTTAACTGGATGGTTTCTATTTGTCTGGAATCAAATCCTAACATACACACAGAGGTTCAATAAATATTTATTCATCGAGACTCCCTAGAACAGTTAGTTCACAGGTTGGCTATGGAAGGACCAAGTAAATTAAGTTTCAGATGTGAAAGGGATCTGTAAACTGTAGGGTACTAACATCCAAGTAGCTCACAGCTGCTTCCAGTGATGAGCTTTACCCCTTTTTATCCCCTGTAGGTCTCTCACCTCAAGTCATGGGATACACCTCAGTCCCTGCCTGCGGTTTTCTGCTCTGGCTGCTTTTCATCCCATGTTTTCAGCACATGAGGGGAGTCCTTTCAAACCACCACCCCATACTGATTTTTTATATTCTCAAGGTGACTTCTTAATTCCTGTGCTTACTTCTCTTCTAAATTTTATCTCACTAACCCTAAGTGACTGTGTTGTGTTTATCACTTCCAGCAGGATGCCCAGTGTCTAGTAACTGCTTATTGGCATTTGTTGAGTGAATGAATAAATGAGCGAAAGAAGATCTGGCTGCAGTGACACAATACTTTCTTAGGGAACCCACTGGACCGTTGTTAAAATTCCTTAGGGCAGGTCAGATAGCTCACCCAGGCTGTTGGTTGTATCAATCCAGGTTTGGTCTCAAAACATTTATTGTAAGTAAAGTAGCCATTCCTGATTTAAGTGCTCAGGCGCTGGGTGCCATCAGGCTTTGTGTGCAGGGAAAACTTGTGTTTTCCTGATATTTAAGTTACTGACCTTCTGCTCAAATGTCCACAGATCTATGCATGTGAATGTACCATATTTACATAAAACCAATTCTCTTATTTAAGCACTTTGACTTAAGTAAATCTTCAGCAAATATCAGAGCAGATAAGTGTTTTTGAAGTGCTTTTGAAGCAAACCTTAAAGACAAATTCATAATCTTTTTTTTCTCAGAAATTCAACTCCTACAATTCTACTCATTCATTATGGTTCCTTATAACTGAAGTTTATTTATTTATTTATTGTTACTGGGGATTGAACTCAGGGGCACTTGACCACTGAGCCACATCTCCAGTCTTATTTTGTATTTTATTTAGAGACAGGATTTCACTGAGTTGCTTGGTGCCTCGCCATTGCTGAGGCTGGTTTTGAACTCATCATCCTCTTACCACCCCCCCCCCCCCCCCCCCCCCCCCCCCCCCCTGCCCCAGCTGCTGGGATTACAGGCATGTGCCTGGCAGGAAGTTTATTCTTAAATCTCTGGGGCTTCAATTTGTCCAAGGACAGAATCATTGTCTCCTTTCCCAAAGCCTGTTCTCTATCTTTTGGGCAAGGAAAAAATTTGCTTGAAAGAAGAAAAAGCTCAGTGTCTGTCTGTCTGTGTCTCCTCTTTCTCTTCTTCTTTTTTTTTCTCCAATTGGTCTCCCTTTATTTTGGAAAAAGACACAGAGCCTAGGAATATACTCATATTTTCATTCATTCGATGGACATTCATTGGGAACCTACTCTGAACTGGGTGCTCAGAATACAAAGAAAATTCTATCCTAATTTTGGTTTTCAAGGAACTCAGTCTGAGCTATGCCTGCAGAAAAAATAAATGATTATAGTACATGTGGTAGGAGCAAAATATCATTAACACAGGTTTCTGAGAGCATAGGGAAGGGAAGGATACCTAACTTAACCTTGGGGTGGGGGTGGGTAGATAAAATATCCCAGGGAATGTGATGCCTATGTTGACCCAGGAAAAGGAGCTTCTATTATTGTGCTTTTAAAAAAAGGATACATGTTTATTGTAAAATATTTTTGAATATTTGGAAAATGTTATCAGAAAGTTTAGGGGAAATGTACAAAAGACTTCAAAATGGACCTGACTGTGAAATGGACCTGGTGTCTTCAGTGGTGATCATGGACCTGGATTATGTATCTCACGATGTGACTTCATAAAATATGCTTTCCCCACTTTCCTGAAGAACTTGTATTGAATCTGATAACGTCAAGTGAAAGTTTTGTTTGTGGCTTTTATCCAGTGTATCTAGATAAGTCAGGCAGTGTCACTGAACAGATCAGCTTCATCTGTTCAAAGGTGAGTTTTTCCCTGGCTAAAAACACAACCTATGGATGAGTGTTGGAAAGAGCCAGAAAGAATTACATACATCTAAACACCTGGGAAGACTAGTTTCAGCACTGAATGTTTTGTGTCAGTGCTGCTGTTTCTGGGCTCTTGTAGCATGAACCCCCATGTGTGTTCTTTGATAAGAGCCAAGGTGTGGAAAGGTGGGGTGCCTAATGAAAACTGTCAACACACCTCTGCTCCTCTCACAATATATCAGAACTCAGGACATCTCAACACAGGTTAAAACACTTAATTTCTAATACCAGGCTCCACTCTTAACCAAATTACGTGACAGTTTGAGGAAGACAAGAAGCTCTAAGGCATCCATCACTAAAGAAGGCATCCCACACTGGTACTTAGAAGAATCTTTTGGTTGCCCCTGGCTTTCTTCACTGAGCCAACACACCACTGCAAAAATAAGGGCAGGAAAAGATGGTGACCGTCTTGCTTTTTGAACTTTCCTGACAAAAAGGGGAGTGGGACAGGGCATTTTATATAACTGTAAACATTAGGTGCTTTTTCAAGCAGACCATCTTTAGGAAAAACCACAAATGGACATTGAAGATCTGGAAAGTTGATTTTTTTTTTTAAAGAGAAAACTTTATCTAAATCTGTTTTACATGTCATAAAATGTAAGTGTAGATTTCAATGACTTTTTTAGTAACTTCACCAAGTACTGCAGCCAGCACATTAAGTTAGCCTTAGGACATTTTTATTGCTTTAGTAAGATCCCTCATGCCCATGACGGTTAATCTCTGTTCCTACCTGCTGCTCAAGGAACTTTGATTTACTTTCTGTCTCTACAAATTTCATAAATTTGGCTTTTCTGACCTTTCATACATTTGAGGAAATTGATTTCTTAAAAATCTATATGCCTACCTTTTTCTTAGAAAGGCTTTGTGCAAATATACGTGCAAATATATAGCATTCTCTTGCCCAACGTGTGTGGGATACCTATCTCAGGCATATGAGGTTTGGGGAAGAAGATATGTGTACCATTCTTACCTTGGTGGAGGGCCCCAGTCACTTGTCTGATGTCAAGAAGGAATCTCAGTGATCAGATCAGCTCTCAAGGTTAGTCCGGTCCTTGAGTGCCTCAGCAGCTGCCCCTCTGTTCTGCTCCTTAAATCAGGAATTCATTCCTTACTCCTCCCTCCAGGACACACCCATGAGATCTCCTCTTTCCAGCTTCATATTGTTGAGTCATCAAGGACTGAAGTTCCTATGGTAAGATAAGAAATAATATTCTGTGATTTTGATTTGCATTTACCTGATAACTAGTAACATTGATCAGTTTATATATACCTGTTGGATATTTGTGTATCTTTTTTTAAAATTTATTTATTGGTTGTTCAAAACATTACAATGATCTTGGCATATCATATTTCATACATTTGATTCAAGGGGCTTATGAATTCTTATTTTTACCACGTGTTCAGATTGCAGGGCCACATTGGTTATACAATCCACGTTTATACATACTGACATACTAGTGTCTGTTGTATTCTGCTGCCTTTCCTATCCCCTCTCCCCTCCCCTACCCTCCCATCATCTCTCTCTACCCCATCTATTGTAATTCATTTCTCTCTTTTTTTTCCCTTTCCCCTCACATCCTCTTATATATAATTTTGTATAACAATGAGGGTCTCTTTCCATCTTCCATGAAATTCCCCTTCTCTCTCCCATTCCCTCCCACCTCTCATCCCTGCTTAATGGTAATCTTCTTCTCGTGCTCTTCCTCCCTGCTCTGTTTTGAGTTGCCCTCCTTATATCAAAGAAGATATTCAGGCATTTGTTTTTTAGGGATTGGCTAGCTTCACTTAGCATAATCTGCTCTAATGCCATCCATTTCCCTGCAAATGCCATGATTTTGTTATTTTTTAGTGCTGAGTAATATTCCATTGTGTACAAATGCCACATTTTTTTTATGCATTCATCTATTGACGGGCATCTAGGTTGGTTCCACATTCTAGCTATTATGAATTGTGCTGTTATGAACATTGATGTAGCTGTATCCCTATAGTATGGTCTTATTAGGTATTTGGGGAATAGTCTGAGAAGGGGAATAGCTGGGTCAAATGGTGGTTCCATTCCCAGCTTTCCAAGAAATCTCCATACTGCTTTCCAAATTGGCCGCACCAATTTGCAGTCCCACCAGCAATGTACAAGTGTACCCTTTTCCCCACATCCTCGCCAGCACTTGTTGTTGTTTGACTTCATAATGGCTGCCAATCTTACTGGAGTGAGATGGTATCTTAGGGTGGTTTTAATTTGCATTTCTCTGATTGCTAGAGATGGTGAGCATTTTTTTGGGTATTTGTTGATTAATTGTATATCCTTCTCTGAGAAGTGTCTGTTCAGGTCCTTGGCCCATTTGTTGATTGGGTTATTTGTTTTCTTATTGTTTAGTTTTTTGAGTTCTTTGTATACTCTGGATATTAGGGCTCTATCTGAAGTGTGAGAAGTAAAAATTTGTTCCCATGATGTAGGCTCCCTATTTACCTCTCTTATTATTTCTCTTGCTGAGAAAAAACTTTTTAGTTTAAGTATGTCCCATTTGTTGATTATTGATTTTAGCTCTTGTGCTATAGTTGTCCTATTAAGGAATTTGGAGCCCGACCCCACGAGATGGAGATTAGAGCCAACTTTTTCTTCTATCAGACGCAGAGTTTCTGGTTTG